TTAGTGAAACACTGCTTGCTTGCTTGCTTAAAGGCTGCCAAGGAAGGATGCCCTGCAGCTGGGAGCGGGCACAGAGGCACAGCAAGGTGCTCCTGGCAGAAGTGTGCATGCAGGGTTTGGGGTTGCACACCAACAACCAACTGTGTTTGCTGGGCTGCTACTGAAAGCAGGGGAGCGGGCAGCCAGCACATCGCACCAACAAGCATCTTCTCCAGGTGGGAAGGAGCACCTCTTCTCCCACGAGAGGTGCTCAGGGCTGGCGGGTGGGGGGTCATGGGCAGCTGCCTGCCCAGGTGCTCTGGGCACCCCTGCCAGCACGTGCTCTGGTGTTTTGAGGGTGCTCGGCACCCAAAGCAAAGTTGGTGGAAGGCTCACAGAAAGAGTGCCTGGCACTGCGTGGGTGGGCAAAGGGCTGGGGGAATGTGTAGAGAGCAACAGGCATGGAGAATGGAAAAAGCAGCTCCCAAGTGTCCTCTCAGGCTGACAAAATGCAGAAAAGTGCGTTCTCCTGTCATTGCAGAAAATAGTTTGAGCGTGACTTGGTTGGGGTTTGTTTGCTGCAGTGGGACAGGAGGGATTTACACTCCACCCACCGCCTCAGGGGCCTCTCCCCAGCCCAACACAAAAATAGGCTGATCTTTCCAAAAGATGGGGCGGGCAGGCTGGAAAATGCCATTCCTGCAGGCACCCACCGTGCTTCTGCCTCAGGAAAAGATGTTGTGAGTGACTGTGGCTGTGTGGGCCCAGGCAGGGATGCAGGGCAGAGCCCTGCTCTGGGCTGTGCCATACCCCACTGCTGTTGGAGAGCTACAGCTTCTGCATGTGCTGCTGTGCCCGGGCGCAGCAGGAGCCTTCCCTCCTTGTGCCATTTGCTGAAGCTCGAGGAGCTGATGTTTTTCCTTCCCAAAGGGCATCGGAAGCAGAAATCTGCGGGCAGGACACACACTCGCAGCCCCACCTGCACACCCCTGCAGAGCCAGTCAAAGGCTAGAGGCTCTGTGTGAGCAGCTGCTCTTCCACCAGCACCCAGAGGCTGCTGGCCCACCACCAGCAATTGCCCTGCCCCAGCTTGGGCAGAATGAGGTCTCCATCACTAGCCCGGTCATGGAGAGGACAGGCAGGTGGAACAAGCCCTCTCCAACCTGTGGTGACCCCCACAGCACTGTGCTGTGTGCTGGGGGAGCAGCCCAAGGGCCAAGTCCTTTGGGCAGCACTGGGCAGTCAGGGGCTGGCAGGAGCCTTAGGGTCAGGGCTGGGAAAACAGCTCCTCTGCCCTCCTATAGCTGCTCCTGGGAGCCCCCCAGCCCCAGACACCGGGGGTGCCCATGGGCAGCCCTTTCTCGTGGATATTGAGATGTGCCCACTGCCAATGGCTTGACCCTGCTGCTGCTCGCCCAGGCCCTGCTCACCAGTAGGGACTGGCCCATTGCCAGCTTCAGCCTGGCATCTCCCTTGTTGACGTGTTTCAGGCCCTACATGGCTGGGCCCTGGATCCCACTGAGCTGTGCCTCTGCCCGCGCCTGGTGATGCTCCCCATGGCACCTCCTTCATCACCCTTCACCCAGCGCTCAGCTCCCTCACCCAGCCCAGGGGCTGGCAGGATGCTCTGTGCAGGGGCTTCCTGAGGGCCCTGGCACCCGCTAATCCCCCGGGAGGGTTTGGGAAGGGCTCAGAGCCCTCCCAGCTCCCCCCTCTCCATCCTCCCCCGGCTGCTTCAGCCGCCCTGAGTCACGCCGCGCCACTGGTGCTGCTGAACGGCAAAGCCCACGTTCACGGCTGGCAGGCAGGGAGCGAGGGGGAGAGGGGCCGCGTTCCGGTAAACGCTTTCAAGCAGGGTAATCCAGTGTTATTTGTAACACTAGTAGGGGAGCTATTTTTAGAGAGAGGGAAATTTGATTTAATAGAACATAATTTGCCTCTGACAATTCAGAGGGCGGCCAAATGAGCAGCAGCTGGATTCCTAAGGAGGCTTTTTCTTGCCCTTCCTGAAATCCAAGGCTGATGTGCCAGAAGTGGCTTTTGTTATTCCAGCAATTGCTGGGGAATAGCCCCTTGGGATGGCCCAATTAGCTCTGCTTTGCTTTTCTTCTATCACTTTGCGCCGTCCCACAAACAGCTGTTAAAAGAAACGAGGGATATTTTTGCGGGATATTTTTGCTGCCGTCCGTCATGGGAGGGCTTGATGGACCCAAACTCCTTCAGGCAGCTGGAGCCAGCCAGGTCTCCCCCTTTGCCTTTTCTTCTGCAGGCTTCTTGGTCTTTCCTTGTATAAATTTAGGATTAAAATAAAGGTTCTGGTCAAACCAAACAGCTCATTTTCCAGGAAGCAGAAAACATGTGTCCACTCCTGGAGGATTTTTTACAGACCAAGTTCTTCTGGACCAGCCTCAGAGATACCCTGGGACAAACCCCTCATCCTGGGAAGATGCAAACAGTATAATCCTGCTTGTCCTTTCCCCAAGATGAAGATCCCCAGAAAACTGATGCCAGTGTGGGAAGACATTGGATAGTTTTTTTCTAGCCCTAAAACTGTTGTGTCCCACCTGTCCCCAGTTGGAGGCATGAGGACAAAGAGCCACCAGGATGAGGTGGGATGACTGTGGGCTGGAGGCAAGTTGCCATGGGGCCGGCAGGGCCCTAGTGAGGGTGGGGAGGTGACATTTCCCTGGGGGCTGTGTGTTGTCCCCACAGGAGTGCCCCAAGGGCAGAGCAGTACGGGCACATGGCATCATTCCCCCCCAGCCCTGGGGCAGCCACCCCGGGCAGGAGCAGCAGACGCATCTTGGGACAATCCCCAACCCCTGCTAGCTCAGACCCCACTGCACTCCCAGAGCTGTTGTGCTTGCAGCCAAGAAGCCCCAAGCCATGGGATGGGGCTGCTGAGGACAAGAGCCCCAGGCAGGACAGGAGCCCCAGCAGCTGTGTGCCCTGCTCCAGGGCTGTCTCCTGCTAGCAGAGAGAAGGGAGAGCTGTGGGGGAGAAGGGCAGGAGCTTTTCTGGGCAGCAACATGTGCCCAGCTCTTGGAGAACATCCTCAGGCAGCAGCACCCCTGGCAAGACACGGCTTCACGCCCAGAAAAATTTACCATAAGGCAAATCCCTGCTGCTCACCAGCCGGCCCCTCATGGCCCAGGGATGGAGCAGCTCCCCGGCAGGGAAGTGGGGTGTGCTCTGAGCTGCAGCTCCTGGCTGCTCTCAGGATGACAGGGCTGAGCAGGACTAAGCACAGATGTGTCGTTTAACTCCAGCAAACATGTGCCCAGGGTTTGGTGGGCTTCTCTACAGATGCACAGTCACTCAAAATGCCTGGAAAACCCTTGGGCAGCCATCCAGGTGGGTGCTCAGCCCTGTGCTGCTCACTCAGGGGTCACCATCCTCCCCATAGCTGCAAGGAGGGGTTTGTAGTGCTCCCTCCTCTGCCAACACAGGGCTTTGTCCTTGGGTCATGACTTGCCCTGGAGTACTTGCAGCAGATGGAGTTACAGCCAGAATAACATTAGTAAAGAAAATTGGTTTTGCTGAGGAGTGAGCAGTAATGCTCCCCTGATCGCATCCCAAAAGCCCTGTGAAGGTTGTTCACATCTCCTTGCTGACTGTCACTGTCCTGGCTGTCCTCTGTGGCTGGGGTGAAGGAGAAGGCTGTGGGGAGAAAATCCTGAGGATGAGGGGTTAAGTGCCTGCCCCTGTATGTGAATGTCCCTAGGGACACTGGCTGGAGTTGGTGTGGCACGTGGGACCCGGCAGTTCCCCCAAAATAACTCACTTGCCTTAATCAAATGCCTTTTCCCACGAATGAAAAGGCACCGTGGGCAGCCCAGTCAGCCCCAGAGGGTGCGGGTACTCCCTGAGCATCACCCCAAGTTGCGTGGCCCTTTCCAGTTTGCCTGTGGTCTACATTCTCCCGTCTGTCAGCTCAGGCTGGTGGAAACCGTGAGCCAACATTTAGTAGGGAGATGGCCCTAAAAATGAGATCAAATCGCTCTCATCTTCTCCTTGAAGAGCAACCACCTCTTCGGGATGCTTCCCTGTGACCAGTTCAGTTAAGTGAAAAAGCTACTAAGTTGTGAAGCCTGCAAATGGATGGGCTGGAGGGGGAGCACTTGGTTGGAGACCCTCTGACACTTCTGTGGCACAGGTTTTTCCCTCTCACCCAATGTTGAATGTAGATTTTCGTTTACAATGATTTTTCGTGGCAGAGCTGGCTAAAAATCACCCCCAGCTTGGGAGATGGAGGCATGATCTGGAAGTTTCCACTCATTCAGATCCCCTGCCTCCGGGCTCATGGGGGCTGCATCTTCTCTAATTAATTGTGTCCTTCCTTCTGCTCCTATCATGCTGCGTTCCCCTGGAACATGCTGGGGATAAACAAGTTGACAAGCTCCTTTCCCTGCCCACAGCATTTGCCTTGCGTCTGTTGAGCCACATCACCTGGCTGTTGTGTGTGGCACGGTGCTGGCTCCATGGCAGAGGAGCTCCCCCAGGGACACTGAGCCCCAGGGATGGTCACACGGCGAGGTGCTGCCTCTTTCTCCTTGTGCTTGTCCCCCCTTCTGCCAGCCCCCACTGTGGCCCACGTGCACCCCTCTCCATTCTCGCAGGGCGCCTGGAGCAGGGGTCCCCCATGTTCATGATGGGGAGCCCTCCCCAGCTGGGAAAGTGCTCTTGCACCCCATTTCCAGCCTCACACCCCCTCACTGTGCCAGCCCCACCAACCCACCATTGCAGGCGATTCTCATCCCTGGGAGAAGCCACAGAGGGCAGCTGGTGCAGGCAGGAGCCAGCTTCTGCCTGCCATGGGCAGGGCACTGCTGACCCCCCCTCTCTTTCTATCTACAATCACTGACCCCCCCTCTCTTTCTATCTCCGCTTTAGGTGCTCTAAAGCTCCAAGGTTCTCTGCCCACGGGCTCAGTGGAATGATGCCAGCCAGCTGAGAGCCCTCCACACCCCTCGTGGTGCCAATGTGACCAAGTGGTCAGCCGGGGACTGCAGTGCCGAGCCCGCTCTGGGGCCTGCCACCCAAAGATGGGCGATGGCGGGTGGATCTCGCTCAGCCCCACCGAGTTTGCCCAGCTCCAGCAGTATACGGACTGTGAGTACCCTGCGCCCCACTCGCATCCCCTCTGCGACAGGGAGAGGGGTTTTAAAAGTCCTGTTGATCAGTGCCCATCCAAGTGTCCTACATGTCCTTGGTCTCCTGGAGAACTAGGTGACTTCCTAAATTTTGGATGGGGAGGCTGGGAAGGTCCCTGACCCCCAGCACTGGCTGATGATGATGGCAGAGGTGTCCCTGTGCCTGTGTGCATGGGAGGATTGAGCTGAGCACAAGCTCCCCTGCTTGGGGAGACACACACGTGAGCATGGATCGGTCCCTCCGAAGGCGGCTGGCTCCCACGTTCGTTAGTGAAGCAAAATGCCAGTGAGGAAAGCAGACTGGCTTTTCATAAACACACGGAGCTGATCCACGTCTCGCCTCGGGTTGCCAACCCTCTGCGGTAATTTTACTTAGTGCTTTTGCAGAGTAACCCTCTCCTGCAGCTCCTGCCCGAGGAGAAGAGCCTGGTGGCAGTGCTGTGGGGTCCCAGGGCTGTGAGCAGCTGGGGTGGGAGCCTGGGCAAAGCCCGGGTGTCTGAAACCAGGTCCTGCCTTCTGGAGAGCTGGCGTGAGGGTGTGCTCATTGCAGCAGGTGATGGAGAAGCCGTGCAGCCCGGGGAGGTGCTAAGAGCAGGGCAGGGTGGGCAGGAAAGCCCAGTTGCGACCGTGGGATGAAGGAAGAAGGGGTGTAAAATCTCAGGGGCATTGCTTTGCAGGGGTAGCACAGCCTCGAGGTGAGCAGGCTCCTGCGGCTGCACATGAGGGGACTGGGAGGCAAAGGGGAACCCCATGAGCCCCCCCAGGCTGTCCTTGGGGCCGCTGTGCATCGTAGGGGTGAGGTGAATGGGGTCAAGGCTGATAGTACAGGGAGGCACAGCCTCCCAATCCAAACAGCCCAGGGCAAGCTGCCCCCAGTCCCCTGCCTGCCTGCCACGCATCCTAGGCAGGGGCAGGCAGGGCTGCAGGCAGAGGTGTGTGCGCAGTGCATTACATCCTGCCTCTCTGGAGAACAGGCTCTGCTTTCTTGAATCACAAACCATAAAATGCCATCTGTAATGCTGAGAGCGGAACGCGTACAGCGTCTTCATTTTGTTAATCAAAGTGTGGCAAGCAAGGCTCCCGCGCAGGCAGCTGCCTCCTGCCTGGGAGGGTGGCCTGGCACTGAGCTGGGGAGCAGGGTTCAGGGGTCCTCCCACAGCTCCTCCCTAGCCCTGCGGCCAGGAGCCCCCTCCTTGAGCACACGTGGGCCCCTGGTTGTGCTCTGAGACCCCCAGACCTGCATCAGGCATCCCAGACAGCCGTGGCCCAGCACCGAGCTCCAGCCCCAGCAAGGGCTGAGAGGAGCAGGAGCCAGCACAACCCCCTGCTCACAGGGCCAAGTGTCTGAGTGTCTTTTAAACAGACATGCTCAGAGATACGTGTCTGCAGGTTAGGGCTTAACGTTCCTTCCCCTTGAGCTTTTTTCCCAGTTTTCCCTTATTTCTCAATTTTGGAAGGACTGATGTCCCTCCAGCCCTGAGTATGCCCAGCCAGGGAAATTCACGGACCATTTACTATTTGTGTGGAAGAATAACAGAGAAATACTGTTCTATTTCTTCCTCCTGACACCTTCTGGAGATGCTGGTGGGCAGCCCAGGGCAGGCTCTGGGGACGGCTCGGGCTGCCGAGGGAGTGCTGGCAGGCACCAGCTCTCAGCACAGGGGCAGCCCCCCAAAGCCCCTGCGGAGGGGCTGGGGCAGGGACGGCCAGGCTTTGTGCTCAGCATCACCCCTGGGGCAGCCAGGCCCGGGACTGGCCCAGGCTTTCCTTGCTCGGTGCCACTGCTTCGCTCTGGGTCTGCGTTTATTTTCATGTAGGTAGGAGGAAGAAGGCCCATCCCTGCCATCCATCTTTACATATATACCCTGTTCTCCAAAGGTGGGGGCAGAAAGCAGGGCATGGGCGACCCCTTCCCAGGCATGGAATGAACCAGAAATTGTATATCCAGCAGATAAACTTGTCTCCACCATCCTGCTGGTGGTCTAACGGCAAAGGGGACACCGTGCTCAGTGCAAGGCCTTTGTCTCCTCAGACTCCACCAAGAAACTCAAGGATGTCCTGGAGGAGTTCCACGGGGATGGCGTCCTCGCGAGGTACAACCCTGAACAGGTATGCCCCTGTCCCCTCCGGTCTCCCCCCATGCCGCTGGCAGCTCCCGGTCCCCCGCCAGCCCCCCCCAGCCCAGCTCCGGAAGCTAAAAGCAGCTGAGAGAAGGCAGGTCTGTCTGTCTGCCCCCCACCTCTCCTCACTGTCGTGCTTCCAGGACTGGGAAAAATGCACCCACAGATGGGGAGCATCTTTGCCGGCCCCCAGGCACGTCCCCCTCTGGCCACCCCAGGTTTGCTGCATGGGCATCCCAGCCCATCCCCCTGGCACCGCCAGGACCCCGTGGCCATGCTGCCGGCCTGCGCTGGCTGCAGGCTGACTGGCTGAGGATGCTTTGGAGCATCACCTTGCTAGGCAGAAGCCAGGAGGAATTTACTCTCTCTTCCCCCAGAATCAAATGATTTTGCTGTTGCCAGCGTGGGGACAGGGGAAGGCCCTGTGCCTTCTTACTCTCACTTGTGGAAGGCTGGAGTTATTTTTTCCAGGTGGTGCTTTCAGAGAGACCTATTAGTGTGCCAGCAGGGCAGAGCTTTTCACAGGGGCTGCAATCACTAGAAATGAGGCAAAACGAGAAAAATTAGTGGGCTGAACATGGCAAGGAGGGGCAACAAAACTACCCAGCTATTCAAGGGCACCACAGGACCCTCACTTCAGCTGGGGCCACAAAAGCCATCAGGAAGGCAATGTCCTGATGGGATGGGAATGCCCAGTGGGGAAGGGGGAGGCGAGGAGCCACTGGGAGGATGATAGGTCCCCAGGGTCTGGGGGTGGGCTGGAGGGTCCCGCTGCTTCGTGCCCTGCCCTGGAGGCTTTCAGAGCACAGCTTGTTACACTCCTCTGCCTCCAGCACCCTCAGCTGCCTTTGGCTATGCCAGAAGGTCTGTATTTAGTTCCTCAATCATTTGCTGAGATCCGAGCACCCAGCTCCATCAGAGCCTCCTGCCCCTCCAGCGAGCTGCCCGCCATGCAGGGCTCCGCAGACCCCCCAGGCAGGCGAGCCAGCTGCTGCCCTGCTGCCCCCAGGTGCAGTCCCACTGCAGCTCTGCCCTTCCCTGTCACTCCCCTGGCTGCCGTGGCTCCCACCCCAGCTCTGAATTTCACTGGCTTGGCTCGGCCGCGCTGGCCCCAGCAGCCAGACAGCACAGGGGATTTCTGGCCCTCCTACCTGTGGGTCCCCCCCACTGCTGGGATCAGGGAAGCCAGGGGTTTTATGGAGGTCTCTGCAGCTGATGTGCTCAGTGAGGAGGGCCCAGGGCATGGACCCCACCTCATCAGCAGCTCTGCACCCCTACGGTGTGCCTGGGGCACCAACAGCAGCCTCCTCTGTCCCCTCCCCAGCCCATCGACTACGAGGGCTTTCGCCTCTTCATGAAGACCTACCTGGAGGCAGACGTGCCCGAGGAGCTTTGCAAACACCTCTTCACCTCCTTCAAGCGTAAGATATGCCATGTCTCCCCCGAGACCCAGAGCCAGAGCCCCGGCATCTCGCAGCTCAACACCCTCGGTGAGCCAGCCCTGTTCCTGCCACCCAGCCAGGCACGCCGAGGCACGGTGGCACATCGGGCTCAGTCCCATGCTGCCTCATGAGGACGAAGGTTGGGGGGTGGCACCCACAGTGGGTGGCATCAGGGGCCATCATACAGTCCAGATCTGTCTCAGCTGATGGACAGGGTCACAGGGACTCTGTGCTGCTCTGGGGAGGAGAGGGCTTTCCCCATGGTGGGAACCCACAGGGCACCATTGCACTGATTCCTCCTTTTCTTCTGAGTGTTCAGAGCCCAAGTCTCTCGATGCTGGCACCTCCATCCAGACCGAGGTGGCCTGTGCCCCTGTCACAGGTATCGGTGCGGGCGGCCACCGAGCAGGTGTCTGCACCTGGAACAGGGGACATGTGCCATGCACCCAGCTCCTGCATCCCCTGGCCCCTGCCTGGGTGGATTCACAGCACATGGAGACATCTGCTGAAAGGACTATAAACTGCAAAAGAACAAGGAGTACCCCCTCCCCGGGCACTCAGCTTCTGCATCGGGGCTCGGGAGCAGCTCTGGCCAGTGGTGGGGGACCACGTCCTCCCCGCCTGGTCCCAAGCACTGTGTCAGCCAGCACCCAGGGAGGGGAGCACTGCTGGGAGCTGCTGGGCCAGGCAGGAGAGTGAGGGGCTGCCTGTGGTGCCCCTCGGAGACCCCTGGGGCCAGGATGCCAGCCTGCTTTGGGGAAGCAAAGAGGATCCCCAGTAGAGTGACCGGCACACAGGCAGGGCTCCTGGAGGAAGGGGCTTGCCAGGCACAGGCACCCTGGTGTCTGCTTTGCAGGGATCAACGGGAAAACGCTCCTAAGTGCCCTGGGACGACACACTCCAGAGCCCAAGAGCTGCCACAGCAACACGGCTGAGCCCCAGCCAGCATCCCTCACCCCAGCATCGATCCCCAACGCCTCTCCCAGCTGGTCCAGGTCGTCCTCCCAGAAGTCCACCACTGGCACCCCTTCTGCTCACAACTCCTCAGGCTCTTCAAAGATCTCTTCTGGGTCCCTGCTCAGCCCTCAGTCACCAGGTGAACTTGGCTGGGGCTCCACAGGGAACATGGGCAGTGACAAGCTCCCCTCCCAATTTCCCAAGCTGTGGAGCCTCTCCTTTCCCCAGTGGTGCAACTGGTTGGGTCCCCAGCATGGTGGTGGTAACCTTCCAAACTCAACACGTTCCTGGTGTCTTGACACCTTTACTTTGCAAACTTAAGCCTCCGGTCCCACCCCGCAGAGTGCCCGTCAGTCAACATCTTAATTACCTGGCAGCAGCTCCCAGCGAGGGGGGATCGGAGCCCTGAGTCATGGCTGCCTCCAGCCTGGCTCCTGCCAGCCACCACCGAGGGGAGCGCTGGCAGTGGCCCTCCGCGAGCAGCAGCCATCTGCTAAAGGCTGCCTCCAGTGCGGGCAGCCGTGAGCATGGGCTGTCCCGGCATGGCGGTGAGCCACCCTGCTGCCCACCCAGCTTCTCACGCCTTCCGGCTGGGTGCTTGTTCCTGGTAGGGCACATTCCTGCAGGCTCCCGCTGCTCATCCTGCCCGCACCAGCAGTGCCAGAGGTGCAGGGCTCTGTGCCCCAGGGACTGACTGGCAGTGCCCAGCTCTGCTCCTGCGATGGCCCTCAGCCCCATGTCCCCCTTGTGTGCCAGACCCTGCTCCTGTGATGGTCCCCAGCCCCACATCCTCCACCTCTTGCTTCCCCCACACTGAACTAGAGTTATGTGCTGCCAGCCCCATGTCCTGACTGGGGACAGCCCCCTGTCCTCCTGTGTGTGGCCTTCATCCCTCTCTCCCCGCCCAGGCACAAAAAGTGTGGAGAAGAGGTTACCCTTCAGCCTGAGGAAGAGCCACAGCTCCCTGAAAGCTGCTCCCCCGCCACCCCCCACCCCCATGGCCCAGGTGGTTCACCTGAAGGACATCGTCTGTTACCTGTCCCTGCTGGAGAGGGGACGGGCAGAGGACAAGCTGGAATGTAAGTAGACTCTGGGGTCATGGGCTGTGGTCACAGAATGACAGAATCATCTGGGTTGGAAAAGCCCTTGGAGCTCCTCCAGTCCAACCATGACCCTCACCCTGACCGTTCCCAATTCCACCAGATCCCTCAGTGCTCGGTCAGCCCGACTCTTCAACCCCTCCAGGGATGGGGACTCCCCCCCTGCCCCGGGCAGCCCATTCCAACGCCCAACAACCCCTTCTGCACAGAAATACTGCCTCAGAGCCAGCCTGACCCTGCCCTGGTGCAGCTTGAGGCCATTCCCTCTGGGCCTGGCGCTGGGTCCTTGGCTCAAGAGACTCATCCCCCCTCTCTGCACCCTCCTGGCAGGGAGCTGCAGAGAGCCAGGAGGTCTCCCCTCAGCCTCCTCTTCTCCAGACTAAACCCCTCCAGTTCCCTCAGCTGCTCCACACCATATGGAGAGGGGACTGGTGGCTGGAGACATTGCCTGGGGAGTTCATCCCAGGAGGGGGCAGGGCTGGACGCTCCTGCTTGCTTTTTAATGCCGAAATGTTAAAACCACTTGCAAAACCCTCTCAGCATTGCACCCCTGCTCCTGCATGCCAGCACCCGTGTCTGGCAGAGGGGCAGCAGCAGGGGCTGTGGCTGTGCTCCAGCACCCTGCAGCCCAGTCCAGGCTTGGGCCATGTATCGCCGGGGCTGAGCTGGCGCGGGGCAGCTCCCACCCCACAGCCCCTGCACCGGCTGCCCAGGCTGCCTGGGGCTGGGCTCTAGCCAGCAGCTGGTTTCTCTTCTCCCTCAGTTATGTTTCGCCTCTACGACACTGATGGAAACGGCCTCCTGGACAACTCGGTAAGCCTTCCCTCAGGAGAGAAAGCCAGGACCGCTTGGGGGGCCCTTTTGGGGTGTCGCTTCCCAAGTGAGACACTCCAAGCTCGACAGGGATATATGGGAAAGGAGGAGGAAGGCAGCAGTGTTTTCTGTGGGGCTGGACTGTGGGGCTGAGGGACGCATGCCAGCTCTGCAACATCCAGCCGCAGCTAGAAGAAATCCACCCACCAGTAATTGTAGCTCTACATCAGGTCACAGTGTTTCAGAAAAGGAAAAATCGTGCACAACTCCCCCCATTTGGGATGTTTGCTCTCTTTCCTTTGGGTATCTCCCTTGAAACTCGTTGCAAATTAAAAATCTGTTTTATCAGAGCAGTTTTTCCAAGGGAAAACCCACTGCAGATTCTCTGGCAGATTTTCAGAGAGGAAAGCAGCACTCATCATGCACTGAGAAATGGGGTGTTGCTGGCCCCCTGTGTGGGTGGGGTCCTAATGCAGCCTTGGGTGTATCGGGACACAGACGTGATACAACCCCGCTTGGTGCCCAAAGCCGTCACAAAGCACTGGGCACTGCTGTCTGTCTGTGCTCAGGAGCTGGATCGTATCATCAACCAGATGGTGCACGTGGCTGAGTACCTGGAGTGGGATTCCACTGAGCTGAAGCCCGTGAGTGCCGGGGTCGGGCAGCTGGGGGGCTGCGGGGACTCTTGGCTGGAGCTGGTGGCTGCAGTTCCTGGGTGACTTTGCCATGTCACCGTGTCTCCTCCCTCCTCCAGATCTTGAAGGCGATGATGGAGGAAATTGACTACAACCACGATGGGACTGTGACGCTGGAGGAGTGGATCCGGGGTGGCATGACCACCATCCCCTTGCTGGTCCTGCTGGGGATGGAGACGGTGAGTGCCTGTGCCAGGAGCTGCTTCATCTGCCCTGCTCGCTCCTGGAGGAGAGCCCAGGGCTGGCGGCAGTGGAGGGTGTGCAAGGACCACGGGAGGGCACCCTACCCACGGCAACTGGCCGCGCACCCCTCTGGCACCGCACCGCCGCCAGCCCCTGCAGACACCCCCACCCTGCTGACTGGCCTTCACCCCCCAGCTCAGTTCTGAGCTGCGGTTCTTGCCAGCTGCTGTGCCCAAAGCAGACTGGGCTCGCTTCTTGCTATTGTAGCACACCACAGTTGGATGAATATTTAATCAAAAAAATAAGATGAGCACCTAAAATGACAGCTCCTCTCTTGAGGTGAGCTTCAAAGAGCAGAGATGGGGTGGTTTGAATCCCCCCATATTTCCCTGTGTTTTTCATCATTTTGGGCTTCATTTCATCATGGTGCATGACCAACCATCAGGTAATAGTGTGCAGGGAAAATCTGGGGTTTTGCTCCCCGGTGCCCATGCTGGTGTTTGCTTCCCATGGAGAGGGATTGGGTCTAGGGGAGGTTTTCTGGAAGGAAGATTCAAGCAAATGGGGAATTTTAAGTGGCTTCTGCAAAGCACTTGTGCCTGGACTCAGATGTAAGAGGCTTGCTTTGGTCACCCCATGGTGGCAGTGGCCTGGCCCCAGACGTGGAGTCACCTTCCCATCAGTGACCAGTAGAGCATCCCCATGGCTAGGCTGTGACTAAGGGCTGTGGGGAGCTGGGGCTCGGTGCCAGGAGTGCCAGGAGCCAGATGTGCCTGCAGAGCATGGGCATGTGGCAGCAGGGATGCTTGGGGGAACACCAGGGAGAAGGGGAGCCCATGGTCCCGCTGGGAGCGAACTCCCACAGATGCACTGGGGGCTTTTATGGGGCAAAAAGCTGCTAGAAGTGGTGGAATGAGTGGGCTGAGATCCCCAGCGAGGAGTAACCCCCTCACCCCCAGTCTCCTGCCCCGCAGAATGTGAAGGATGACGGGCAGCATGCCTGGAGGCTGAAGCACTTCAAGAAACCTGCCTACTGCAACTTCTGCCGCACCATGCTGCTGGGGGTCCGCAAGCAGGGCCTCTGCTGCTCCTGTGAGTCCTGGCCTCCCCATATGCCCAGGCTGGCAGCTCCCACCCCATCCCTGTGCCCCAGGAAGGGGGGGACTGGTCTCCGTCGATGCTGAGTCCTGTGGGTGCTGCAGGGTGAGCGGGGTGGGGGCAGTGCCTGTGCCGGGCAGTGATGCTCACCACCTTCTTCTCTCCCACCAGTCTGTAAGTACACCGTCCACGAGAGGTGTGTGTCCAAAGATATCGCCTCCTGCATCAGCACCTACGTGAAATCCAAGAGAAACACGAGTGTGAGTAGGCAGCTGGTGCATTTCTCTCATGGAGCCCTCCCTGAGAGACCACCACTGGCAGAAGCTGGCCCCTTGGTCTCCTGCCCTGGTTCCCCATGACTTTTTCCCCTGGGATTTGCCCCTCAGATTCTGGGCAGCAGCTCATGGCTATTCCCAACATCCAGATCCTGGCAGGGTGGGCCCCATCTCCAGCCCCTGGGGACCCGCGGGACCCCTGGCCCTGAGGTTTGCCCAGGCTTCAGGTGGGGAATGGGTGTCCCCAGTGTGCTGCATGATACAGCAGGGAGGGAAGGCGGCCAGGTGAGGGCTTTGGATCAGTCAGCACCCCTGCATAACAAGCCACCCGCCAAAATCACGGCTGCAGCCCTTAGTGGGGAGGAGATGCTGGCAGGTTGGTGCGTGCTGTGCCCGCAGTGCCCCCGCTCACCCCCTGCAGGTGATGCAGCACACCTGGATCGAGGGCAATTCCCCCGTCAAGTGCGACAGATGCCACAAGAGCATCAAATGCTACCAGGGCATCACCGGCCTGCACTGTGTCTGGTGCCAAGTCACTGTGAGTACGCGGGAATGGGGGGCTGGAGGTGCATCCTGCAGTGCTCCCTGCACAGCAGCCCTGGGGGAGAGGCTCATAAGTGGCCAAGTGTCCCCTGCCCAATGTCCCTTCCTTCCGGCCCCTCCAGCTCCACAACAAATGTGCCTCCCATGTGAAGCCGGAGTGTGACGGGGGCCCACTGCGGGACCACATCTTGCTGCCTTCCTACATCTGCCCTGTCGTCCTGGTAAGTGCCCCCACTCCTTGGAGCCAGGCGGCAGGGACACGGCAGGGACGCGGCAGGGACCCGGCAGGACATTGCTGTGGCCAACTTGCCACCCCTGGCTGCCAACGCCTCCTTCTTGGGGCACAGGCGCATCCATGCCTCTGTCCCCCAAAGGACAGGCAGTCCCACTGCCAGAGATCGGAGAGCGATTCCCCTGGCAGCACCAGCCCCGAGGACAACCAGGGCTTCAAGTTCAACTCCGCCACGGTGGATGGGCAAGGTCTGCAGGTAGGTTCCCGTGCCAGGCAGCTGGCAAGCTCTGCCCTGGGTGCGCGCCGAGCCCGCAGCGGCTGGGCATTCGCAGCCACGCTTTCTGCCCTCCAGATCAGCCCCCGGCCTGGGACGCACCCCCTCCTCGTGCTTGTGAACCCCAAGAGTGGAGGAAGGCAAGGGGAGCGGTAGGTGGGGCCCTGACCATGGAGAGCATACCCCTGGGGTTGGGGGATGTCGGTCCCTCAGGTTGCTCCAGCACCTCTCCTGGAGGGGAACTTGCCTCCGTGGCATCCCTCACTCCTCAATTTTCCTAGGGTCCTCCGAAAATTTCACTACCTTCTCAACCCACGCCAAGTGTACAACCTGGACCGCGGCGGGCCCACACCAGGGTATGGAGATGATGTGGCCAATCCCCTGTCCCTCCCCACTGGCCCCCACTCCCCCAAGTCACCCCTTGTTTCTCCTGGCTTTCTCCAGGCTGAGCTTCTTTCGGGACACTCCGGATTTCCGCGTCCTAGCCTGCGGAGGGGATGGCACGGTGGGCTGGATCCTGGACTGCATAGGTGAGCAAGGAGCAGCCGTGCTCCCATAGAGCATCATCCACCCACATCCTTGGCAATCTGCTACGAGTTTCCAATATTCCCTTGGCGAGAGCAGGGCAGGGGTTCTGCCAACAGCATCATCCCCCACTCCCCCCCAGAGTGCCAGTAGAGGAGGGACATGGAGAGGAGCAGGGATGAGCCCTTTCAGCCCCAAACGTCTCTTTCCCCTTGAATTCCAGACAAGGCGAACTTGGTGAAGCACCCGCCAGTGGCTGTCTTGCCCCTGGGAACGGGCAATGACCTGGCCCGGTGCCTGCGCTGGGGAGGAGGTAAGGCTGAACAAGCATCACCCTGGGGGGGTCCAGCCCGTAAGGACCGTCCAGTGTGGCTGGGTGTGTGCTGTCCTGAGGGAGGGAGGGTCCAGGGCTCTTGGGATGAGGCTCAGGGCTGCATCTCGGCCCTGGTGCTTCCTGATGGTACCTCTAACCCCTTCCAAAAAAAGCAGCCACTGCTTCTAAACACCCATCAGACAGGTCCTGCCCAACAACCTTTTTCATCTGGGGGAGCCATGCCATTAGCTGCCACCACAGAAGGGATGATCTGGGATCTCGCTCATGCTGCAGCAGCAGCGCCAGGCTCCCCTGGGCACTTGGCACCCAACTACCTCTGGCCACACGTGACATGCTGCACTCCCCTTCGGCCTCCCTCATCCTCCTCTGACACCCACCTTCTTTCCCTTCCAGGCTATGAGGGAGGAAACCTGATGAAGGTCCTGAAAGACATTGAGCACAGCACGGAGGTGCTGCTGGACCGCTGGCAGATAGACGTCATTCCCAGCGACCGAGAGGCCAACGGAGACCCTGTCCCATCCACCATCATCAATAACTACTTTTCCATCGGGGTGGTGAGTGCTGTGGGGTGGGGATGGGTCCTAAGGGCAGCCCAGAGTGAGCACACATGCATTTTAGCTGGAGAGAGCAGCACAGCTCAGGGCTAGTGACCGGTGCCCAGACTGTGCCATGCCCACCGGAGCCCCCCCGGCCATGGGAAAGCGGAGGGAAGGGCTCTGGAGGCCAGCGGAGCAGGGGATCTGTCACCTGGGTCCCCAGCACAGCCACAGGCTCAAACCCACCCAGATCAGTGGATGCCCAGGGGCATTTCCCACCAGTGGAGTGGTGCTGTGAAGTTGCTGGAGTGATCCAACCCAGCGGGTGCACGCGAGGGATACCAGCCCCCCACGCTTCCTTCCCTGTCTCCTCCTAGACTCACCCTGAGCCCTCTTCCAAGTTAATTCCCAGGAGCAGGGACTGGTTCCTGATGATGTTCCTTAGAGACCATAAAAACCTGTCTTGAGTGTTTGGTGAAACTCTACATCTAAGCTTGAGCCTCCCAAGCTGGGACTCTCCCTGCTCTTCCTTGCCCGCATTCCCAACCTCCCTCCATCTCCTGGCATTGTTTTTCTGGTTTAATTTTAATTAAGCAGCACTTAAATGCATAAACAGGCATGAAATCTCTCTTCCCAGCCAGGAATGTTACAAGAGCAAGTGTGTGAGGAGCTTAAATGAGGTTCAGGGAAGTTTGGGGTCCCAAGGACAGGTTGAGATCTGCTGGACACCCCACCTGAAGCTTTTGCCGAGGTGGCACCCATCAGCAAAGCCCTGCTTTGGTGCTTGGACCTGCGTTCCCCCATGTTTTCCTAACTCAGGGCAGTTAGAGAACCCAGGGAGGATGGCAGCCTGTGCCACAGGGGCCTTCCCCAGCTCCTGGGCCGATCATGGGAGCAACAGGGCTCTGGGGAAATAGCAAAGTAGAAAGCACTTCTCTTCCTGAGGGCTCACAGCATTTTTGTCGCAGGCTATGGGTGACCAAGTGGTACCGCCACGGCATGGGTCACATCAGCTCCTGCTAATGCCAGGGTCTGTCACTGTGGGTGGCATCTGATGACAGCTTCTGAGGCTTGAACACCCCCCACCCTGCACAGGAGAGGTTGCGATGAGTTTCAGGAGAGCTGCCACCCTGCCAGGTTGCAGGGTCTTGGGGTCCCTGGAACCCCGCAGCCCTGCTCTTTCTCCCTCCCTCAGCATCACCTCCATGCAGAGCCCCTGTGATGAGGGACGGAAGCCAAATGCACTAATTATATCTCGCTTAACAAGCCAGTTCAGTGCTTCACGAGCAGCCTGGCTGAGGGTGCCTCTGTCACCTCGGCATGGCCCCCGCACTGTGCCCCTGTGCCGCGGGGACTGGTGGTGTGGGTGAAGACCTGAGACCCCATATCCCGGCGCATGCCTCCGTGGCACAGAGAGGTGTTTCTATTTCCCTCCGCCAGCACTTCTGCACTCCCTCTCCCCACAGGATGCCTCCATCGCCCACCGCTTCCACGTCATGCGAGAAAAGCACCCTGAGAAATTCAACAGCAGGTAAGGGCTGCCCATGGTCCCCCCCAAAAGCTGGGTGTGGGGGGATGCCCCACCATTGCCGTACACTGCACCGTCGGGACATGCCGGGGACGTGCCAGGTGTAGCCAGAGGGGTGGGGGCCTGGGGTGCTCCCTAGGGCCCCATGCAGTGCGGCAGGCTGCTCAAACTTGGCCACGCACCCAATTACGTTCATTCATGCTTTATAATTAGCACTGAATTCCAGGACCGGCAGGAGCAGGCCAGGCAGTGAGGGCAGGGCAGGCAGCAGGTCGCAGCTCGCCGCCGCTGTGCTTGGGGTGCATGGGAATGATGTGATGGCAGCAGGAGCCATGGCCTGCGACCCCTGTCCCCATGTTCAGAAACACCTGCTAGAAAATCCCCGAATGGACCCAAACATCTGTCTCTGCTCCGAAATTTAGGTCCCCTTTGCTTACAGCTCCTCCTCAAAGCCTGGTGCAGCGATGATGCAGGGGAGGAGTGGTCAGAGGCTGCCTGGCAGGGTGCTGGGAGGGTGTGAGGCAGGGTGCTGAGGTGGAGGGCATCCCCTCCACGGGGTATCCATCCCCAGAAGCCCTGTCAAGAGATGATAGCCCACATTGAGCTCTGCTAAGAGCCGGTGGAAACACCCCGTCCAATGTGGAGGGACCACCCAGCACCCACATCCTTCCCTTTTCAGGGTGTCAGAGCCACCCCCTGTCCCACAGCACAGCTCCCCGGAGCCATGACGCCAGCAGTCCCTCCCCACGATGGCTTGTGTCCCCATCGATGGCTTGCGTCCCCATCGCAATGGCTCTGGAAAGGCTCTGGCGGCCCATCCTGTCTGGGCTGGGGATGGCTGGGCAAGGCACTGCTTCAGAGTGGGATGCTGACACGTCTCTGTGCCCCCAGAATGAAGAACAAGCTGTGGTACTTTGAATTCGGGACATCGGAAACCTTTGCGGCCACCTGCAAGAAGCTCCACGACTACGTTGAGGTGGAGGTGGGTTTCCCAGGATGGTCCCTGGCTCCAGCTGCAGCACAGAGGTTTTTGGGGAGATGTCACCCCTGGGTCCCTCAGGCAGGGCTTTTGGCTGTCCGGGGAGAGGGTGCTGTGGCAGCTTTGGCCCCTTTTGGTGGCAGGAGGATGCGGTGGCTGGCAGGACCCGCTCTTCCACCGTGTGTCGCTTGCTGCAAAGCCGGCCAGCTGCAGGCAGAAGAATAGCCCTGTATTCTTCCCCCTTTCCAGCTGTATTTGAGAGCGTGCCTGGAATATTCTTTCTGTAAACTCCGTGTCTGCTCCCAGCCCTCGTTGGATGACATGGAAACAGCCTTTAATTAGAGCGGGGAGGAGGGCGCGCGGTTGCTAAGAGCACTGTCATTTCTCTGCTCGTGCTGGGGGGTTTGGGCCGTGCTTTGCTGTAAACTTCCGCCTCTCCTTATCGCTGGATAAATGACCCTTTTATAACTTAGGCTTGAGGGTGAGGGGGAAAAAATGTCGCTTGCTGCAAAGGGCTGGTGTGGGTCTGACCAGGCGGTGGGTGCAGCGTCACTGGCAGCGTGCAGGCAGAGAGCAGGCAGAGCCCCGGGACCTGACCATGTGGCGCAGGCAGCCGCGGGCAGAGGGACTTTGAAGCCTGTTTCTAGGCAGGGAGTTTCGTCTCTTCCCAAAGCCTGAAGGGCATAGCTGTGCCCTCAGCAGCTGGTGGGAAGGGGCAGGAACAGAGGAACAGCCATCTCACCCCCTCCGCTGGCCACCAGCGTCCTGGGGTGGACAAGGCCCACGCCCGTGGGGTTTGATGCTGCCGGAGGTGGGCGCGAGGTGCGAGGGGCTCCGTGCGCAGCCCGCCAAGTGTCACCGGCACCACCTGGGCCGTGCCAGCAGGAAAGTGTTAATCCTGCAGTATTTGAAGTTGAAAGCGGCAGCCTGTCCTCGCTCCGGCTCCCAGGCAACTGTCAGCCTTGCAGAGAAATGGCAGTTTTGTTTTGGAAATTGGCACTCATTCCCCTACAGCTCCTGGAAATGAATTTGCTTTTTTCCCAGCTGCAAATTTTCTACTTCCAGCATCGCTGCCAGTGCGCCGTCAGCTGCCCCTGCTCAAAGAGCCCATTGTAGCTCGCTGGCACACTAACAGGGGAGGGCTACGCAGGCAGAAATCGCTCCCTGCATGCGTGTGTGTGGGCAGGCGTGGGCAGCTGTGGTCCTGCCCGCTCCGCACACCCCCGTGCAGGAACAGGCTTCAGCAGCATCCCCAGCAATCTCACAGCCGGGGCAGGCAGCTTGCTCCCATCCCACTGCGGCCGGGCCGGTACCCACCACCTTGCGGGCAGCAGGAAAGATGCCTGTGGCTGGGGGCAACACTCGTTCCAGCCAGGTCTGGGAGGTCTTGTCCATCCTGTGAGGAATCTGAGCTCTCTCACTCGGTACCGCTGCTCACAGCATTAGGGTCTTTTCTGTTCCTACAAATCATAATATCATTAAGATGTATTGAGAACGAAAGGATTTACATCTTTACAAGCCTTGGAGAGACAGCTCTTCATTCCCAAACCAGAAGATTCCTGCCTTTTGCTTTCAAGGCAAGGCTAAAAATAAGATCTTGGAGCATCAGGGGAGGCAGAACAGATCTGAACATACAGAGATGCTTGCTCATATGTGCACCCAGCTCCACATACGTGTGGCCGGCATGCTCAGCGCTTGCCAACTGTGCATTAAAAATAATCTTAAGACCTTCACTCTTTGCTAGAGGAAAACAACTGGAGTCAAAGCAGCAGTGGGGGTTTTTCAGCCTGTTTGCGTTCCTCTCGGTAAAGCAAGAGGGAGCAGAAATGCCGTTGCATGACCAAAATGCAAAGAAAAAAATGCACTGGTATTTGCTGAAGCGTAGCATGGCAGGTAGAGAGCAGATGCAGAAAGGAAAATATAGATGCTCTAGAGAAAATAGCATTGAATGGGAAAGTGGCTGCTTCCTCCAGGGGTATCTAGAAAGGGGATCCAGTGTCATCCAGGCAGCGTGAGAGTGAGAAGACCCAAAGTTAAGAAAGCATTTGCATGGCTGCTGCTTCCAGTCCTGTGGAAAAGCTCCAAGCAACAGATGTTTTCCTTTTTACAGGAAATTTTCAGCTGGGGCAGTCCTGCTGTACAACACACGCAAGTGTGCTGCCTTGCGGTTTTCCCTCCAAAAACTGATGTTTTTTCCTCTGACACCTTTCCTATCATTTCCTTCCAGCCTAATTTCTAGTTTCCAAATTGTGCTTGAAGACAAACTGGTTTGAGTTAGTTTTTAGGCAGCCAAACTTTCTCATTCCTTGGGGTCAATTTGAACGAGGGGAGGTGGGGAAGCATGTGCTGGAGATGCTTGCATGGAGGTCGCTCCAGGGCTGTGGTGGTATCACATCCTATTTTGGGTTGCAGGAACCGAGCCTGGCTGAGGTTTTATGTGGTCTCACAGGAATTTGGTTTTCAAAACTGTCTCCTTGGACGTGTAGTAAAATTCATATTGAAATAGAGGGGAAAGCAGCATGAGGAAGGGGAGGTGGTGGGTGTCAGCCCTAGAAATGCTAAGTCAGAGAGTATTTGTCTGCATCTCCAGCCCCAGCTGCCCCAGCGCTGCCTGTGGCCCCCTGGGGCAGGTTTGCTCTGGGGACTGTCCAGCAGCATACTCTGCTCGGAGAGCCCTGCTCCTTTCAGCAGGCTGGTGGGGAGAGGAGGTGGCTGGGCTCCAGCTCCCCCCAGCCCCCCAGCCTGACGCTGCCCGCATGCCCGGCAGTGCGACGGGACCCTGCTAGACCTGAGCAATGCATCCCTGGAGGGCATCGCCGTCCTCAACATACCCAGCATGTACGGAGGCTCCAACCTCTGGGGCGAGACCAAGAAGCAGCGCAGTTACAACCGGCTGGGCAAGAAAGCGCCGGAGAAGCTGCATGCCACGGTGGTCACTGACGCCAAGGAGCTCAAGTTCTGTGTCCAGGGTGAGCAGCAGGGTCTGGCAGTTTGTGGGGTGTGTGGGGTTAGCGCGAGGGAGCTGGGCGGCCACCGGTTTTGTCTGTGGCTCAATGCACGTGGCACCGGAGCAATGGCACTGAAGGGGTTGCTATCAGCTTTTGGGGTGCCAGTGTGACCCCCAACAGCAGTCTGTCCAAGCTGGCAAAGGAGGGTGGCTCTGCCCGCCTGTGTACGGCCCAACACTGCATTTCTCATGCCATGCCACGGTGGCCACAGAGGATGTGGCACCCACCCCCTGCCACCCACCTCTCCCCTCACCCTTTGAGGGTCGTGGCTCAGTGGGTGCCCATGTGGGACCCCTCACCTGCTGTCGTGAGGCTGGGCAGCCCCCGGTGCCCTGCGGGATTGGCAAGCAGCCGCTGCGGGGCTGGGCACCCACTGCTGCAGAGGAGGAGCTGGCAGTGGAGCTGCAGAGCTGGCACTGATGGCTTTTATAAGCATCCTCGCAGGCTGCGCATCAGCACCACCAGCCTGGCTGCAGGCTTTTGGGAACAGCACAGCACCTGCACTGTGCCCCGGCCAGCACCTCGCACCCACTGCTGCGGCCACCATGGGCATGGGCATGGTCACAGGCAGCCCAAAGTGCTGGCAAGGTTCCCCAGCAGAGAGCTGTGCATTAGAAAGCAGCCCAGTTTTCTAGGCCAGGTGCCTGCATTTTCCACCCACCACCTCCAGCAGCCTGGGATTGGGGTGGGAAACAGCCCTGCTACCATGAGGCTGCCAGGATGGCGGTGTCACCAGGCTGTCACTGGCTGTCCCGTGCCGGGTGAGCTGGTGGGAATGGGCAGCAGGGAGCAGGGCAGAGCAGAGGCCAATTCCAAAGGGTGGTGAGAGGTGGCAGAGTCAGTTCCCTGGGCACGTCCCTGCTTGCAGGTGGGCAGGAGGGCATGGAGGGGCTTGACAGGCTTCTCCGGGTGGGGGTTTCCACCATGGGTGAAAGAGGACCCTGAAGGAGTTAGAGATGGAGTGAGTTGCCTGGTGTTGGGCACCTTTGCTGGGGGCCCAGCAGAGCAGGAGGAGCTGGGAAAAGCAGCAGTGCCCTGGGATTTAAGCAGGTCCCTCCCAGTGAGGATTCTGCTGTGCATGTCAGCTCCCAGGGCGGGGTGGAGGGGCCACAGTGCCCCAGAGCACCCTAGGGAGAGTGTCTGCCACCATTTCATATAACACTGCAGAAAGCAGTTGCAGAGCTGGTGAGGATCCAGGCTGCTGCTCTGCAGCCGTGCAGCACCGGGCGCTGTTTCAGACCAGGACTATTTTTGCACCGAGGATTTTGGACAGGAGTATTGCTCAACACTGCAAATGCCCATCTTGGAGCATGGGGGTCATCAGGACACATGCCCACAGTGCCACCAGCCCTGCTGCTTTCCGGAGTGGCCAGCAGCCTTGGTGTGCTGACCCTGATGTTTCACATGACGGCAGAAGGCAGGGGATCCCCAGGGACAGGGGGACCAACTCAGTTCCCTCTCTCTTGCAGACCTCAGTGACCACCTCTTGGAGGTGGTGGGGCTGGAGGGCGCAATGGAGATGGGGCAGATCTACACGGGGCTGAAGAGTGCTGGGAAGAGACTGGCCCAGTGTTCGTCTGTCACTATCAGGTATTTGTCCTCATCCCAGCTGAGTGCCCGACTGCCAGCGAAAGCTGGTCCCTGTGTCACCCTGCATCCCCCCTGTTTTTGCTTTGCAGGACATCCAAGCTGCTGCCCATGCAGGTGGACGGGGAGCCCTGGATGCAGCCATCCTGTACCGTGAGTCCCTGGGGAGGGGACAGCTCTGCCGTGGGCAGGTGGAGCAGGCAGGGGCTGGCAGCACGGCGGGATGGGGCAGGCAGGGGCTGGCAGCGTGGCCGGCAGCCTCAGCTCCCCGTGCAGCATGACAAAGCCTCTGGAGTTGGAGGGAGGCTGGTGGGTGGCCGCAGAGCTGAGCCCCCTGTGACTTCTGTGTGCACCCAAGCTGGCCCTGGACTCATAGCAAGCCATCATGGGAGCTGTGGGGACAGGGACACGTTCATCCCTTGCCTGGGTGGGTACAGCAGCATCCCTTCCAGGGGGGGCTGCAGTGCAGTCCCTCACCTGTGGCAGGCAGCTTTGCCACAGAAGAAGTATGTCCCAGCACCGCCTGGGTGTGATTTTGGAGCTCTTGCTCCTGTGCAGCAAAGCATTTAGTGACCCAGCTTGGGGTGGCAGCGGCTCCTCGCCCCGGGGCTGAGTGCTGAGCTGCTCCTGGCTCGCTCCCTGGGCTGGGGCATGCCCAGGAGGGCTCAGAGCCCAGAAGACCCTTACTAAGCTGGGTTTTTCACTTCTTTTTAGGTCAAAATTACACATAAAAGCCAAGTGCCAATGTTGCTGGGCCCTCCACAGAAGAGCAGCTTCTTTTTCCTGAAGAGGAGAAACCGAACTCGAGATTAAGCAGCACGCAAGGAGCCGTGGCCCAGAGACACCCGGCGACCCGGACACCTGCCTGCTGCGGGGGTTTCCCAAATCTCTGCTCTGTGGTGGGGAGAGAACACACCCCCTCAAACCTGGTGGGGATGATGTGTCCTGGGAAGGTCTTGGAGGCTCCTTCCCAACCACCACAAGCGTCTTCTCCAGACAGGATGGAAGCGGTGGGCGAAGGCAAGCTGATGCACGGGGAGCATGTTCACAAGAGCAGCGCTAGGACTTTTGGTTTTGTTTTTTTTTCTTTATTTAAATAACACCCCCCACCCGCCCTGGCAGAGCTGCAGATGAACGTGCTCCTGAGAAAATGCTAAGCTTCTCTTATTTATTTTTAATCCTCTTGAAGGACACTCAATGTTTTGCTGCACTGGCTTTATGTCCACCAACCCTTGCACATTGGAGAAGTTATTTATTTTCTTAGCCTAGAGGAGACGGTCTCTGCCATGCCTTCGGCTAGCACTTCTGGAATGGGTTTTAAGCAGATGCAAAGACAGCCTTCACTGCCAGCCCTGGGAGCTGTGAGGTGTGCGACAGATTGGGGACAGACAGTGCCTGGGCCATGAGGTCAAGTGCAGGGTGGATGGGAGGAGACTGTTTTTATGTGGAAACGGCAAAAAATGGATTTTGAGGGGAGCTGCTAATCCTGGGAAACCCCCACGACCCGGCTCTCAGCTTCTTGTTCATATTTATGTATTTATTTAGCAAACTTTGAGGGGACCTTGGAGGTCACCTTTTTTTATGAGCCCGGGTTGGACACGAATGCCACATCCCTTCTCTGCTGGCTGTCCCCCATGGCACCTCCTTCCACATGGACTTTCCTCTCTCCTAAAGCCTGCCAGCCTGCACTATGGGCTGAGGACCCTGGGGACAAACATCCAGAAGCACTTCTCACTTGGAAGTGTCCACCTCAATTTTTTTACACATTTTATGTGCTTTGCCAGGCCCGTGCTCTCCTGGCAGCAACCAGTGCTGCCTCTGATGCTTCTGGATGGCTGCAGGGAGCGGGGAAGAGCTGTTGCACCTCAGTTTCTGCATGGCCATGTCTCCCCTGACCCACTCCAAAGCCGAGGAGCTTTGCAGATGCTGCTGCCAGACCCTGCCTGCACAGGCACCCACCACTCGCCACCCTGCCGCTCCTTGTCTCCTCACCCAACCGGCCACTGGAGTCCAGCCAGGGGGATGGACCGGGGACCCATGTGACCCCAACCAGGTGCATGGGGACAGACTGAGGGACACAGCTTCTCCACAAGATGTGACTGAGACCAGAAAATGGAGGAATGCACAGAGGAGGTGGTGGTCTGGATGTGTGCCCCACTTCATTGTGCTCCCAGGAGCCAGAAGTTGGCAGGACTGGCCCTTGGAAAGGGGTGCTGGTTGCTTCTGCAGGCACCCACTGCCTCCTGTGGGGGCCCTGTCGGGGGGCACACCAGGCTCCCAAATGAGCCCCCGCTCTCAGGCAGCTCCTTTGGATCTGATGGAGGCCCCTGTGCTGCTGTGAACAAGCCCGGAGTGACACATACCCATGGATGTTGCTGCAAATAGGAAAACCACTGCTTGTCCTTGCTGTGCCCCTCCCTAGGGCAGGGAGCCCCAGTGGGACAGGCCACCCTGCTGACCCAGGGAGGACAGGACAGGCCCGGTCCCTCCTCATGCTGCAAGTCCCCGTTGAATAGTATCACCCTAGCAGTGCAGAGGGTGCTGCCATCATTAAGTTTCAGGGTTCATCACCCTCCCCAAGCAGGGACAGTGTTGTTAGGCGCCTGTTGAAGCTTGAGGCTGTTTCTGACAGCAGCCGTAGGGCCCTGCTGACATGGGAGGAGGCGGCAGTGCCCCAGGAGAGCCCCAGCCTGGGCTCCAGCCCACAAGTGTCCCTCAGCCAGGGTGCAGGAGGAGGCTCCGGTGGGCTGCCACAGCTCCCTCTCCTCCTGCCCTCAGCACCAACATCAGGCAGGGCAAGGGCGAGCTGGTGGGGAGGAGCTCACTGCAACATGACGCCCAGGAATAGGAAAGTACCGGAGGCAGCCAAGAAGCCAGGAGGAGGGGGGCCTGCGCCGCAAAGCGAGCAGGAGTGAGCACAGGCCTGGCCGGTGGGTGCAGAGATCAACGCAGCTTACCAGAGCCATGACCTGTGGACATGGGCACACTCCACCCACGGTGCATAAATCTACCCTCCTCTTCATCATCACCCGGGGCAGCTGTTAATGAGTAGCCAGGTGAAAACATGGGAGCTAGGCCAAATAAACCCAGGGACCAGCAGCCTCCATTTCCCCAGCCCTACCCCCAACAGCAGCTGTGCCTCGCAGCCCCCACGCTTGGGGAGGGTGAACCATCTCCAGGGCTTTGCCGGCAGGCGGGCTGATGGGTTTGATCTGTGGGATGACAACGCACGGGGTCAGCAGCATTGATAGCAGCAGGTTTGACTCCATTTCCCTGCCTGCTTCGCCTCGACCTGGGGTTTTATCCCAGGGCTGTGATTAGAAAGTGCCTGCATGGAATCAGCAACAGTTTTCACCACAGACCTGCTCCTTGCACCTGGTCATGGTTTGATGGGTTCCGGGCAAAGAGCAGCACTCAGGTCTCTCTGCTGTGGTTTGCCATCAGTGGTGGTGGAGCCAGGGGAAGAAAACGGGCGTCACGCCATGCCTGCACCCGTGGGTCTGGCCGCATGCCAGGGGCGAGGAGTGTTCGTTTGAGTTTAAAGCTGTGGGGGGCTCAGGGCCACCACCCTGGGCCAGTGGGATGATGGCACAACAGCACTGGTCTGCCAAGAGTGCTGGGCTCTGGTAAGACACCCTCTTCTATGATCAGTCAGACAGTCCCTGCCATCTCCCCCAGGGGATGCAGCTTCAGTCCACCCCAGCCATGCCAAAGCTGTGGTTCAATGGGCCTGGTAGCTAACGACCTTCTTAATCCAAAGGTGCAAAGGCCTTCAGCCCAGGAGGGGACACATAGGGGCTGGCATGCTTGCTCGGCTGTCCCTGGCTCCAGGTGAGGAATACGCCACGCAGCCAAGGGCATGCGAGGCTCTGAAACTCCCCTGTCCCTCTCGGTGTCCTCCAGCTCAGCCCTGTTCATCCCCCAGAGGCCACTGGATGGAGCAGGAGCCCCCAAACACCCCCTCCCCTAGGCGCTGATGCCAGTGTACAAGTGCCCCCCTGAGCCGGTGCCATGCTGGGGGACCCCTGAGAGTGGGGGAATCCCATTCCCCTGGGAGCCCCGGCCCAGCACTGGCCCCATCCTCCTGCTGTGTGCGTAGCCGTGGTTGCCTGCATGGAAATGGTGTCTGTAGTGTAGCGCGTGTTGCCGTGTACACCTGGACTACTGTGGGCTTGCCTCAAATAAAGATGGTGATGAAATACTCGGCTGGTCCTGGAGTGTACTGGGGTTCCCAGATTCCTGGCCAGGCCGGTGCAGGGTCCTCACCTTTGGGAACTCAAAACAGGAGGTGCTGGGGCTGACAGGATGTTGTCAGTGGCAGCGCAATGGAGCGGCACTTGGTGGGAGCTGTAACTGGCTAAATATGGAGCCTGCAGGGTTTTTTTTTTTAATTTTTTTTTTCCTGAGTGGGCTCTAAATTTAGCAGGCGCTGGTTGCCATCCTCCCTCCCAGCCGTGGCTCTGCAGGGGCTTCAGCTCTTCCCCAGACACTCCTGTGGCCTACCCCTGCCTGCCCCACAGCTGCGCTTGGCCCCCAATTACCTCACCCTGTGCCAGCAAGAGCACTGGGGGTGCTGAGCAGCCCCGGGATGGTGCAGGGCCATGGCCGCCTTGGGTAACCGGCTGTGCCTGGCTCTGCAATGACCCTGCTCATCCCTAGCACCTTGTTCCCCAGCCCAGGTTTTGCCACCCGCCTGCCCATGTGTCATCTGCTAATTTTACCAGCAGTGATTTAATCCTGATTGCCTGTGTGCTGAGGGGAAGTGAGAGCTTCAGCACCTGCAGAACCACCCGTGAGCAGTCCCTGGATGGCAAGGACACCCCATGCCCTCTGTGTGCTCCCCTCCCTGCCACAGGCACCCAGCGAGTGGCATGTGCTGGCAGCCCCCCCACCATTTCACCCAGGACACATTGGGAGACAAGCTACCTGCTGTTACCAGTGTCCTCCCTGGGGGATAGTAGTGGCCCTGGAAGACCCTGGAAGCTCATCAGTACCCCAACATGGACAGAGAAATTCCCACCAGCAGCCCAGAGATGTGCTGGGCAGCTCTCCCAGGACACCAGCAAGCCCATGACCTGAGGCTGAGGATTTCAAAATGGTGAAGACAACCCCGTACCAACAGGCTTCCTAGCCCCTGGGCATTTTCCCAGGATCAAGCAGAAGGCTCCTCTACTTCCAGGCTGAGAAGAGCAGTATGTAACTGAGCACTATCCCTTTTTTGTCCCTTCTCCAGCAATAATTTTCCAGTCTTGCTCTGCAACATGAGGCCTCCACACAGTTCTTTTACCCTGTGTAACACACTACGTCCTCCACGAGCAGCCACTGGTGGGTCTCACCACCTTCAGTTACAGCTGGGGAAACTGAGGCACTTGGCAGAGTGATGCTGGGGTGGGGGGCCTGGCAGGCCCTGAGCAGCACAGCACTGTCCTAAACTTATTCCCAATCCTCTGAGCTATTTGCAGTCCTGCAAGGGCTTGTGTCTATGAACTCGCTCGGGAGGATCCGTGGCCGGGGCAGCCCCAAAATCCCTGCAGGTGGGAACTGTTTTTCCTATGGCCCCCTCCAAAAAGCCCTTCTCAAAGGCAAACCTGGTGCTTGCAGGGGAAGGGCTGCTAAAGCCAGCACTGAGACATGGGTTAGCCCCCTGCTCGCAGGGGCACCCGTGTGACCGTGCCTCGCTCGTGTGAAACTGCCTCCCAAACCAGCACAGGGGACCCCATGGCGTGTGGGGAGGGAGCCCCACTGCATGTGAGGTCCGAGGTCCGCCCTCGCAGAGCCTGCTGTGCTGTGGGTTCTTAGGCACGGCGTGCAGGGAGCAATGTCCTGTCCGGGTCCGGATCCGACCGCTTGGGCTGTCCCACCGACCCCCAAGTCCGCCCGTTAACCCCACACTCCCCCCTAGATGTCTCCTGGGAGAGGGCCGCGGCCCCTTTAAATCCTGCGCTGCCCGGCCCCACTCGCTCGCCTCTTCCCCCTTCTATTTTTTTATGAATGAAAAACGTTCTGGGCGGAGCCAAGCAAATCACGCCGCTCCCATTGGCTGTCGTCGCCCCCGCCCATCCAGCCGGCCTCAATGGTGCTCGGCGGAGCGGCGCGCGGGCGGGCGCGCAGCGGCGCTGCAGCCAATCAGACG